GTCGCCGCGGCCGCGGCTTTCCCCCGCGCAGGGGCTCGCCGGAGCCGCCCGCAGCCAGGGCTGTTCTGCCTCCGCTTGCAGAAACCGCTCCTGCGCCTCCCTCCCTCTTCCCCTCGCCCTTTCCCCGCAGCGCCGTCCCCCCGGCTGGGGCATGGTGCGGGCTGCGTGGTGGCCCGCGATGCCGCCCGCCACAAACAGCCTCGCGGGCGGCGGTGGCAGCCGTGCGTGGGGCGGCGCGTTGCAGGGGTCTGCCGGGCAGGATCGGGGCGCGTTGGGGTGCATGGCGGGCTCGCCGGGGGCTCCTCGGGGTGAGCGTGGTGCGGGGCGATGGATGCATCTCCCTTGTGTGCATGGGGAGCGTGTCGTGTGTTTTAGCTGGGAGGGGTGTGTACAAACAGCCTCGCGGGCGGCGGTGGCAGCCGTGCGTGGGGCGGCGCGTTGCAGGGGTCTGCCGGGCAGGATCGGGGCGCGTTGGGGTGCATGGCGGGCTCGCCGGGGGCTCCTCGGGGTGAGCGTGGTGCGGGGCGATGGATGCATCTCCCTTGTGTGCATGGGGAGCGTGTCGTGTGTTTTAGCTGGGAGGGGTGTGTAAAGGGTGTCCCCCCCACCGCCCCAGGAGGACCGCAGGTGAGCTTGGCGAGGGGCTGGACTGTGCGTGTTGTCCAGCGAGCAGGGTGTGCTGTGTGGGTGTGCGCGGTGTGTGATTTGCGGTGAGCAGTGTGCTGTGTGTGGGTTTGTACTGAACAGTTAGCGGTGTATGCTGTGTGGGTGTGTATTTAGTGTGATTTGCACTGAGCAGGGTGTACTGTCTGGATATGTGCTGAACACTTAGAGGAGGGTGTTGTGCGAGGCTGTATTTCTGTGTGGGTGCACTGCTCAGGATTTGCAGCGAGGGGGTGTACCGCGTGGGGACGTACTGGACGGTGAGTGGGGTGTATTGTGCGGGGATGCACTGAACGGTGTGCAAGGTGTTGTGTGGGGTTTGCAGGGAGCGGGGCGACCTGAGCAGTGTGGGTTTCTGGGGGGGGCTGTTTGCTGTGTGGCTCTCGGAGGGGAGGGGACCATCCAGTTTTGGTGCATCACACGTGGGCTTGAAGCACATGCCATAGCATCCTAACCTGTCCTCCTTCCATCCCAGGGCCCTGTGGATAGGAATGGACGGACAGACGGCTGCTTTGCCAGCCTTGCCCAGCAGCGCCACGGTGCATACGAGAGCCCCGGCAGGCAGGTTTTGACGGCCGGCGTGGCGAGCAGAGCGGGACCGGGCCAAGCCGTACCTCCTGACTTTTCTGTGGTAGACGCGAACCACTGTGTGGATTGGGTTTTTAAGTCACGAAAGACGTTGTGCCACAGCTGCCGTCACCATGAATGGGCTGTCGGTGAGCGAGCTGTGCTGCCTCTTCTGTTGCCCACCCTGCCCCAGCCGGATAGCAGCCAAGCTGGCCTTCCTGCCCCCGGAGCCCACCTACGCCATTGTGCCCGAGCCAGAGCCTGCGGGCAGCACCAGCACCAGCTCGCTGAGGGGCGGCACGCCGGGGCGTTGGAAGCTGCACTTGACCGACCGGGCAGATTTCCAGTATGCCCAGCGGGAGCTGGACACCATTGAGGTGTTTCTAACCAAGAGCAGCCGGGGGAACCGCGTCGGTTGCATGTACATCCGCTGTGTGCCAGGCGCCAGGTAAGTGGCAGCCGTGTGGCGGACACATCCGTGAGCTCTGGGCTCGCTCTGGGCAGCGCATGGCAGAGCCCAGATGATTCCAGCCTCCCTTGGCCACGGTTCTGATCCCAACTAGGAAATTCTCTCTGTGCTTGTAGGCTGGGGCCATCGTGCCCATAGGGAGGTGTGACCCAGCACCACCTCCTGCCCTGAAGTGATCCTGTGCTAAATCCGGCATGCTCCACAGGGACACTGCTTTGTCCCGAGGTGGGTTTTGGAGGCAATGCATGCTAGAGGTTGGGCTGCCAGGATCTGCTTTGTTCATGACATGAATGGGGCGTGGAATTAAAGAAAAAGATAGAAAAGGGCCCTGACTCCTGGGTTCCTTTCTGAGTCTGGTCTGTGCCTCTGTCTGCTAGCTGAGCAGGCCTCCATTGGGACTTAGTTGTGCCACTATGGGGGTGAAATACTTTGAGAGGCGATAAAGGAAGCTGCTGACCCAGGTTGGAGGGTCATTATTGTCACTGAGGGTAAACCCTGGGGCCGCAACCTGAATGACTTCCTTCCCTGCCCTCTCTAGACCCACCCAGACCTCATGGCCTTGCAGCAGCCCCCTCCCCAGGTCTTACCAAGGGCTGGCACCATTTCTCTTTGATCCTGCTTGGCTCTTTGGGGCCTGGGTGGGCCATAGAGGAGCTGCTGAAATCCCAGAGCCAGCATTGCTTCCTTTTGCCACCTGTGTGGCAAAGCAGCCACAGACCGAGCGGGCCATGAGCCCTGTGCTGGCCCCTTCCAAGCCAGTCAATACATACAGCCAAAGCTTGGTGTGGGAAGGCTTGTCTGAACCTAGTGACCTGCAGAGTCACTCATGCATAGAGGTTAGACCCAAAGGCACTGTGAGCTCTTCCACTCCAGCTCCCTGTGCAATACAGACCCAAGACTTTCACCCAGTTACTCTTGTGCTGAGCCCAGTCTCTCATGCTGGGTTTGATCAGATCTGCCAGAAAGGCATTGAGTCTGGATTTGGAGGCATCCATTGAGGAAGAAGCCACCCTTCCTTTGGAGGGCTGCGGCAGTGGCTCATCCTTGTGTGCCCCCCAGGGTAGCCAACAGATCCAGTGGCTGCTTTTGGAACTGCTGCCTGAATTATTAGAAACATTTTGTTTTTAATCAAGTAAAAAAACCCAAAAGAAATGAAGCTGGATGGGATTTAGGAGCATGAATATGAAAAGATTTACTTCCCTCCCCAGCTTTTTCCCCTTCTGCTTTTTCTGCAATTGCAACTTTTAGAGTACATAACTTCTCTGTAGCTTCCCCCTTTCCTGGTGTAGGTAACTGCACCAGGGCCATCACCTGGTGTCTGGGTGTTATCGTCTTGGGAATTATCCTTGCATTGTATTTATTACAGTAGCATCCAGATGCCCCCAGGAGCTCAGTGCCCCATTGGGCTGCAGCCTGGACTGCTAATCTTGCTGGAATCCATGCTCTACCCAATTGTACTTAAGGCCTCAGCTGCCCTGTGGAAACGCTCGCTGGCCCAGCCCCAACCCCTTGGAATCTGTGACAGCTGGGGCAGGGCGGGCCAGGGAGTGGCACAGAAGTTTCCTTATGCTATATGTGCCTAGCTCTATATGTTGCTCTTTCACCTGCTAGGGTTTAGGGCCTGTCTGATGGAGCTCTTCATGCCTGTGGGGTAGGGGGGGCGGGGGGTTGAAGAGAAAGGAATCAGCAGCTGTTTCATAAGCTGCCTGCACAGCTGGAGCCTCCTTGGAACCGCCTTTGTGCCCCATCTTTGCTGCATTTGTCTCCTGTGTGTCTCATGGTGCGAGTGGCTCAGGGCTGGGCAGATTCCAGCTAGTTTGCTCCGTGCATGGGAGACTTCCCCAGTCAGTGGGGCATTCTTTGCCCTCTAAGCAGCCCTGGCTCCACGGTATTGCAGAAAGACCTGCTGGCACTGGAAGATGGTGACAGCAGCTGGTTGTCACCAAGCAAGGGGTGTCCTGGCTGCTTCCTTGCTTGGAAAATTGCATTCTTCCAAACAGAATCCTCCTTCCTGATTCAACACTGATCCTCTTCCTTCCGCATTCAACACTTACAGTCCGAAACTGTTCTGTAGCCTTCCCCTGTGAAGTCAAACAGGTGCTGAATCCCAGCAGAGCGGTGGCTGCCTTTGATGATGACTTCCTCTGTCATGAGGTAGATTTTTCCTAGTCTGGAAAGCCATGTTAAGAGTGAGCAATGTGGGACAACTAGATGGGTATTGACAAAACTGGCAGAGCAAATAAAACACTGTCTTGCATTTACCGATGCATCCCAAGCAAGACTAAGGATACCATCCTCCTGTTCTACTCGGCCTTAGTGAGGCTCCAGCTGGAGTACTGCATGCAGGTCTGCATTTCAGGAAGAGGGTGGAGAAGCTTGAGAGAGTCCAAAGGAGGGCCAAGTGCATGATTAGAGGTCTGGAGAGCAGGTCATATGAGGAGAGGCCGAAAGACATGGGACTGTTCAGCCTGGAGAAAAGAAGACTTAGAGGGAACTTGGTGGCAGCCTATAAGTATATAAGGGCCTACATCAGTGCCTGGAGGAGTGTCTGTTCACCAAAGCACCCTAGGGGAAGACGAGAAACAATGGACACAAACTGCTTGAAGATCGCTTCAGATTGGACATAAGGAGAAATTTCTTTACGATTCGAGTGCCTAGGGTCTGGAACAGACTCCCACCAGAGGTGGTACAACCACCTACCCTGGAGATCTTTTAAAAAAGGACTTGATGTGTGCCTTGCTGGGGTCATCTGACCCCAGCAGCCTTTCCTGCCCAAGTGCAGGAGGCTGGACTTGATAGCCTTGTGAGGCCCCTTCCAGCCTCTAACATCTATGAATCTGTGAAACCTACTCTTCATCCCACCATCATGGGTGCCATGCTGGACGGGTCAGGTGCCTCACTCCAGTCCCAGACGGGTGAGTTCGGGTTCTGCTCCAGACTCTCTTCAAAAGCTGTCCCTGGTTGACACAGATGTAAGTGGGTGCCTGGTCATTCAGGCTAGGGAGTCCCAGGCAGCTGGGTGTAATGTCAGCCATGTCAGTCCCTTATGTGCTATGAGCAAGCTTGATGGGCCTTGAGCTGTGGGAAAACCTTTTGACCCCTGGAAATCCAGAGCCAAAAGCCTCATCATCTGTGTTGGCAGGGATGAGCCAGGAGATGCACTATTAAAGTTACACTGGCCAACTCCCCGGCAGAGATGTGGTGGGTGCCCACAGAGGCTGAGCCCAGCCAGTTCCCCATGGCCAGGAGCTACAGAGGGCTTTTATGGGCAGAGCAACATTGGTTAGTGGAGAAAGAGAAGAGGAATTACTTCCCCCGCAGAACTCTGCCAACAAAGCAGTGATGTGTGGGCCTCAGCCCTGGTGTGCACATGGAAACATCATGGGGGGATTTAGCTGTGTTAGTCTGAAGTCAGGCAGAAGGCAGGGCAGGGGGCACCTTAGTGACTGACTGAGTCAGAGAGGCAACGTAGGCAACGACCTTCCTCGGATGCCAGTGTCAGACCTGATGCAGTGGGCTGTCACCTACAAGAGCCTGTGCCTCTGAACAAGTTACTCTCGGGTGCTGCCTTCTGCATGGGAACGTCAGTGATGTACATAGCTGCGGGATGGTAAGGCCAGGGCCCCACCGTGGCAGGCTTCATGTCACAGAGCTCCCTCTCAACCCACGCGCTTCACCCAAATGCTCACCTTGGGAGGTCGTTTGGCTGCCTTGTTCTCCAGTGGCTAGAAACCTCCTCCTCGTTCCCAACCTGCCATGTCCAAGGCCGGCTTGGACCCATTTACGCTTGTGCCAACGTTGCCCTCTAAGCTTCAGCAGCCCTTTCCCCTTCCTGGTGTTTCCCTGAGGTATTGCTAGGAGCCAGCATAGCTCTGCTCAGCTTTCATCTGGCCAGCCTGCATGAACCCAGCACCTTTGGGCTCCTGTTCTGCAGTTGACGTAGACAGAGCTGGATTTTAGGAGTGCCTCAGATACCAGCCTGGGCCTCGGGCACCTGGCGTTTCTTCCCAGCTCTGCCACTAAGCTGCTCTGACTTTGGGCAAGTCACTTCTTGCCTCGCTTCTGCTCCCACCCTCAGCCTGTGTGCCATTTATATCATCAGCTTGTTGATGCATGAATTGGGCATTTCTCACTGTATGCGTAGTGCCTGGTACAAAGGGGCCCTTAGCTCAGCTTGTAAGTGCCTGTGCTGGTCATAGCTGCAGGCTGGCATTGGCCTGTCATGGTCGTCAGGAGGGATCCATGGGAGTGGGCATTGGCAGAGTAATTTTTTGGAGGGCTGCTGTAGGGATGGAGTAAACGTTGGGACTGTTGAATTAGGGGGTGGAGGTTAGAGGTGGATAATTAGTGCAGTTTGGGGTGTGCCTGTGGCCGTCTCCAGCTTGTGGTCACAGTGGAGGTCTCCAAGGGTGGGGAAATGAGCTGCGGTTCTTCCCTTGGCATCTGACTCGAGCTGTGGGATCCTCAAGGGTGTCCCCTTTTGCATGGTGAGAGCAGCTGCCTGCAGCTGTTGTGTTGGGAAAGGTGGGGGGCTTTGTGGCTGGGGGCCCCGAAGCCCAGTTGGATTTGCCAAGTCCAACTAAGGGGAGAGGGGGCAGCCCAGGCAATAAGGAATCGGCCCCAGACCTGGGTATAGGGGCAGACTGAGAGGGATCGTGGTATGGTATCCAGGCTTTGCTGGGGTCATCCAGACCGCTCCAGGGCTCAGCTGGGTTACACCAGGGCTCTGCGAGCTGGGCCATAGCTCTTAGAGGAGTAAGAGGGGTTAAAACAGCAGTAGGATGTTAATTGTAGTCAATTTATTACCTGTATTTAAAGCCTTGGGGGTGGCTGGACTGGGGGGCACTGATCCCAGCTCCCCCCACCCACCTGGCCACTCCCTTCCCGGCACTGAGGTGTTGCCACAAGCAGAGGGCAGGAAGTCACTCTGCGCCATCTCCTGCCCCACCAGAGACTTCGGACCTGGTCCAGGGTTGTTCCCTGCCTGCCATGTGGACCCGAGCGTTCGGGGCCATTGGCTGCGAGTCCAGCCCTGCGTGTGTCGCCTTGGGCTGGTTCCGGCCGAGGCAGGAGCAAGAGGCCCAGCGAGGGAGCCCAGCTTGGGGGGCCGGGAGTGGAGACTTGGCAGCCAGCCCCCTGCCAGCCCAAGCAGGAGGGTGTAAAGGGCTGATCCAGGCAGACAGGTGCCCCCACCCCATCCCCTGCAGGCTGCCAGGGGTAGCGTGTGGCTGGGACAGGCTTATTTTGCCTTAAGCCGACGAAGCGCATTAGCACCTGGTCCGGCTGCAGGCACTGTCTGGCCACCAGCCAAGCCCCTCGCTGCCTTGTAAACTTCAGCAGCTTTGTCGGCGCCAGCCCCGTCCCTTCTCCGTCTGGCTGCAGATGCCTTGCGCCAGGTGCTGGAGCTCTGATCACCTCGCCGGCTGCTGCAATCCAGGGTGCGTGTCACTGCTCCTCTCCCTGCCCCCAGGCTGGAGCCTGCCAAGGTCCTGCTTCCTTTGGCTCAGTTTGAAGTCGTGGTTTGTCCTGGCCACCTTGGCTACCTGGCGCTCCTTCCACTGCCCTGGCTCTGACCTTGCCAAGCTAGAGAGGGCAGAAACAGGGAGCGGGACTCGCAACAAATCATGAGATTTAAAACAAATGCAGCTTTAATTCTAGTTTTCACCCGTTTTTGAAGGCTTCCCCTCCATTCCTCTGCCAACAGGTGTGAGATTGGCAGGTGGGAATTCAACCTTTAATGCATACGCAGGAAGGCCCCTGTCCCTGGCTTCTCTGAGGGAGAGACCCCAATGCCTGCTTGCTTGTCTGACAGGATGTATGGCTGTTCCCCTGTTACCATCCTGACTTCCTTGCCTGAGACCCACCTGCAGGGAGTCCACCTTTCCCTGCCCCAGCGGAGGGGTCCAGGGGCAGGGGCACTGGCAGAGGACTGCTGCTGGGGTCATGGGCCATGGGGAGGCCCTGAGGCAGTTGGATCTGTTGGATCCAGATCTGGACCTGCTCCCATCACCAGCTTCCTGCTGCCCAAAACCCCATTCTCTGCCCTCGGGCCCCTCCACAGAGGCAGAGCCTGTCAGCAAGGGCAGTGGCATGTCCCTGGTGAGCATGAGCCCTGGCCTGGCCCCCTTGGCTGCCTTGGGGACCTAGGGCTGCAGTGTCTGGGAGGGAGGGGGAGGGGAGGTCCTGCCTTTCCCACCCCAGACCCTAATTGGGTAGGGACAGTGCCTCAGCCCAGCTACAAGATGACTCTTGCACAGGCCATGAACACAGAGGAGCATCTGGTGTCCTGGTGATGGCTCCTGCCAGTGGCAAAACCCTGTGACTCATGACATGCTCACGGGAGCCAGCAGCCCAGTGTGGGCGGATGCCTGTGACGTGTCCTGGATGGGGGTCTCCCACCCACACACCATGCAGACCAGCATTGCTCCTGGGGCCCTGGCAACAGCACTGCCTTAGGAGGGAGAGCGTGCCACCTTGAGCCAGCCAGGCCACCCCCTTTCAGCCCAGGGAACCGAGTTGAGGACTGGGACCCTTTTGCCCTTCCCTGTGAGAGGAGGGCTTCATGCTGTCCCAGTGTGGCCTCAGGCCAGCATTACCACAGCAGCCAGCCACTAGTAGGGTTCCCACTGAAGCATGTGCCAGGCCGGCCCTGCCCAGCTTATGAGACTATGCCAAGCCATGGCTTGCAGTGGGGCTGCTTGGGTGTGTGGAGCACGGGAGGGCAATGGACTGCCCCCAGGTGTGTCTGCAGCAGAGGTGTGGTGGGGGAGGCCAGGGTCTGAGGCTGGGACACTGGTGCTGATTGTCGTGGCATCATTTCTGTCTGTATAGGCCCAGCCCTTTGCCCCCCAGATGCCTTGGAGAGTCTTAGGCTTGTGGGACTGCCGTCTTAGAGCTGCTCAGTCTCCCTTGAGTGGCATAACGGGCTCCATTGAGTGGGGGCAGGGGTTGGTTGCGTCCTGACTCTGGCACTGAGGGACTTGTGGCTCCCAGTGTCTTGGGGAACCTGGCTGCAGATGTGCCTTTCAGTCCATCTCCCCCAGGATCACGGGCTCTCAGCCTACCCACCCCTGGGCTCTCCCTTGCCCTTGGCCAGTGGGTACTTCTGGCCTTGTACCAGGCCACCCGGCTCATCAGGGTCTGGCAGGGGCATGAGGCTGCCATGCCCAGTGCTGTCTGTGGCTAACCGGTGCATCTTCTCTCTGCCTGCCAGGTTCACGGTGCTCTTCTCCCATGGCAATGCTGTGGACCTAGGCCAGATGAGCAGCTTCTACATTGGGCTGGGCACGCGCATCAACTGCAATATCTTCTCCTATGACTACTCGGGCTACGGCGTCAGCACGGGGAAACCCTCGGAGAAGAACCTTTATGCTGATATCGATGCTGCCTGGCAAGCGCTGAGGACACGGTAAGTCCTGCTCTGGTCCTGTCGACTGTTTCAGAGGCCCTCGGCTACAGTGTTGGGGAGGGAGGGGGGAGGGATGTTCTGCCTTTCCCACCTCAGACCCTAACTGGGTAGGGACAGTGCCTCTGCCCAGCTACAAGATGGCAGGGGCACAGGCTGGGGTTGCAGGGGTTGTTTGTCAGCAGTGTGGGGAAAAGCAGAATTGTCGGGGGGAGCTCAGGGCTGTTGGTTGGGGTTCAAGGGCTCTGGCACATCCTTCAGTGCTGTTAGATGCCCACACTACTGGAGCAGGGGTAGGGGTGGTGTCCTGGGAGCCTGCTCTGGTGGGGGGTGAGTCTGTCCCAGACCCAGCACAGAGCACTGGCATGAGCTGCAGCAGCTCATACAACATTTAGCTCTGACGGTTGGCAATTTCCACCCCAGTGTGTTCACTGCATAGGAGGGCCCTGTTTGCTCCACCTGGACAGGGCCCTGGGGTACCTGGTGGGATTGTGCCTGCTCATGAAGGAAACTACCCACCCTGTGAAAGCTCTAGCCAGCGCAGATTGCCACGGCCCCTCACTCAGTGCTGAGTGCTCAGTGCTGGGTCCGTCACCATAAGATACAGCAGCCCTCGCCTATGGGCTGCCAGGGATATGTCTCATCCTTTGCCCTACCCCTCCTGCTGAGATGAGGCAGTGCTTGATTGTGGAGCTCCCAGATGCCAGGGTAATGGGCACGTACTGAGACATCAGCTGTGCCCTGGCCGGGGGCTGTGTACTACTGTAGCTATGTCAGCAGAGCGGCATGGGGGAGCTGCGGAAGAGCAGGGGGGAGGGGAAGGGAGAGGAAGCTGGCCTGCATGCTGGGGCTAGGAAATCCCGTGAGGCCCATGCTCTGGAAAACAGGAAACCTTGCTGGCCAAGGCAGCGCTGCACGGAAGGGCCTCGTGGGGCTGGGAGCAGCTGTTCGCAGGATGGAGTGGGCTGAGCTAGTGTGTGGCACAGGCAGGGGCTGGAAGCCCCCAGGGCACTCGTGGGGATGCAGACTTCCCTGTGCAGGGAGTCCAGGCCATTGCTGTGCCAAGGGTAGTGCCAGGGCTCAAAGGCCCTGAGGGCTGAGGAGCTTTTACTGGCTCCTTCATTGGCAGCCTCAGGGAGGAGACCTGGGCTGGGCAGGCCGCAGAGGTTGAATGCCCCCACCTAGGATTTACCTTGGGGCAGGGAGTGCAGGAGGGTCCCCATGGAGTATCCCATGTTGGATGTGGGCTGGGATTGAGGGACAAGGCAGTCCCAACGATTGCAGCACAAGGGTGGCAGAGGTGGAGAGATGCCTGGCCTGTCTCCCCTGCAGGCAGGCTCACCATCAGGAGTCCATGGGCTTGGCAGAATGCTCTCTTCCTGGCTGGCACCTCAGCCCTGGTGACAGGCAGTGGAGATGGCAGGTGAAAGGGGAGGCCAGGGTTCAGGGGATGCTGAAGGGGGCAGGGGACATCTGAGAGAGCAAACTCTTCTGGGTGAGTCCTGCTGCCTGGTCAGGAGTGGGGGAGCCGTTCTAGCTGCTTTGCCTGCCATGGACCCTCCTGAGAGAGACGATGAAGGTGATGTGTGCATTAGCCCCCCAGGGCCAACAGGCTTGTGGAGGATGAGGCTCTGCAGACCCAACTGCCTTAACTGAGCTAGTTTGAGTCCTGAGAGCGGTCAGGCCAGGAGGGCACATACTTCCCCATGCACTGTATAGGCTGGCCAGGTACCCCGAGCCCCTCCTCCACACACACACACACGCCTGTGCTGCGGTGCATACGTCCTCCCAGGAGCCCTGGCACTGCTGTTGCCAGAAAGCCCCAGGAGGCCCAGGTGGCATGTGCTGTGCACTGCACGCTGCCAGGGCAGTGTCACCGAGGCTTGGCAAGGGGGATTGTCCTCCCAGATGAAGGCAGTGAGTGGCAAGGGGCAGAGCGTGTCACATGGCTTGCATAGAAATGGCCAAATTCCACCTTCCCAGCCTGTGCCCCCAGCCTGCTCCCCTGGGAGGAGATGACAGCTGTGTTTCTAACACAGTCGACAGACAGGGCAACAAACACCGTGCCAGGCTGTCTTTGCCTGCCGCAAAGAATCCCCCAAGGCTTGTTTCTCCTCCTGCCTGGGTGCAGCACGGTCCAGCATTGCCCACAGGCATTAGGTGTTTGCATACAGTGCCGTCACTCTTAAGGGCCAATCCTCTTGCCACCACGATGCCGGGGGGCTCCTGGGCTCGTGTGGGCAGATCGAAAAGCAGAAGGCAGGAGAGGAGGACACAAGGGACCATTTGCATCTGTTTAATGGAGCCACTGTATCGGCCCCTGGCATGACGGTCTCAGACGGGGGCCTGGATGACAGCATGAAATGAGCACACCCAGCAGTAGGGCACCCCCGCCACTCTGCCCAGGAGTTAGTGCCTGGGAGACCTAGGAAAGAGATAAGAATGGGAGGGGGGCACACAGTGCCCCTGGCACTGCAGAGAGTCCTTGAAAGACATGGGGCAGCCAAGGAACTTGGGGGTGCAGGGTTGGACCAGGTGCTTGGCTAGTAGAAGCACAGAACGTGCCCTGGAGCACTCAACTGAGAGCAGGGCCCACAGGGCTGTTGTGCATGCAGTCCCTTGCAATGGAACAGGCAAAGTGTGGGGTGGGGAAACTGAGGCACAGGGAGGGGACATAATTTGTGGCCCCCCTACACACTGCACCCCATAGCTTTCTTGCTGAGCCTTCTGGGAGGTGTTGGCTATGGGGCCGCCTCTGCCTGGCTCCTGGGTTCACGGCCCCCCACCAGCTCTACTCTGCAGCTGGTCCTGTCCCCGGGCTGGGCGGCCTGTCTGTGGCACGGGAAGGAGGGAGGCCCGTTGCTGGTTGCTCAGGGCCAGGCCCTGTCTGCTGGGCTGGCTCCTGCCCAAGGCAGCTGCGCTCAGCAGGCGATGCATCTCCCGGCACCATGGCAAGCCTTCCTGCTTGGGGGGAGGCAGGACATATGTGGGGGATGGGCTGGTGTCGCTGGTTCAAGCCCAGTCTTGGGGAGCAGGCAGTGGTACCGTGGGTGGCTCCATTTTGGTGACAAGAAATGCAGCCTAGACAGGACCCTAGCATAGATGAGCTTTCTACCCCTGCGTGGCACTGTGTGGGCTGGGTCTGTGTCACAGCTGCCCCTGTCACCTTGATGGGCCACGTCTCTGCTTGGCTCTGTGCCACCACCGCAGCAAGAGCATGTCCTAGTGCTTCTGGGTGCTCGCAGGGCTCGCTGCAGCCACTGTGCTGCCAGAGCATGAAGTGGCCCTGGCAGCCAGCAGAAGGTGTTGGAGAGAGGGGGGAAGCCTTGCCCTGCTGGTACCAGGGTGGCTGGGGGTCAGAGGGGCTGCGGGTGCTCTAGGTGCCGGTACACTATGCTCAGAAAGGCAGCAGGTATCTGTGCCAGGCCTTGGGTACTGTTAATTGAAACCACTTCAGTGGTGCTTGACAGGTCTGTAAGGTCTGCTTCTGCCTGTCAGCTCCAAGCTCCAGGCCTAGGATAAGAGCCACATCGCAGAGCGGGTCCTGTTGGTGCACAGGCGGAGGGGTGATTTGTCTTTCCTGCCTTGCTGTCCCGGATGCATGACGAGCCTCCCTCCTACTGATGATCAAACCAGTCTGTCTCCAGGCCCAGGAAGGTGCTGATAAGGCTTTTGACATCAGAACGAGCCCCATGCTGTCTCTCCCCGCCCCCCTGCAGCTGTGCGGGGGGAGCCTGGAGCCAGGCAGATAACCGTGTCCTGCCCTTGAGGGTGGGTATCTAGGGAGCGCAGGCAGCAGGAGTGAGGGTGGTAGCAGGCACCTGCGTGCTGGAGCACAGCTATTCCAGACAATGCTGATGTCCCAGGCACCACCTCCCCCTGCCTCACCTGCGCCATCTGCCGCCTGGGACAGTGCTTATGTGAGCCAGGACAGGGGGTGCCGAGAGCTGGGCTGCCAGGGAGCCCCCAGCCTAACAGCTCTTTGCAGCCTCTCCCTGCCTCAGCCCCCTTCCTCCCACTGCCACCTGGATCCCTGTTGCCTCTTTGCCCCCATGCCAGCAGGTCCCTCAGTACCTCCCCTTCCTCTTCCTTGTGGGAGCAGCCGTCCCCTGCTCTAAGCCCCTTTCCATCCCCTTCTTGCCATCCGCTGCCGGCAGTTTGACCCTTGGGTCTGTACCATGATCCCCAGGTCACAGTGTGGACAGGGCTTGCTCAGATGTACTGATCCCCGTGGTTGATGACCCCTGTGACTGATTCATAAGCCTGCAGGGACCCCTGGCAGCTTCCCCTCCAGCCCAGCCATGAGAATATAGGGATGTCCATGCATCTGGAATGAGGTGGTGTGTCCTTGGGTGTTTGGTGTGGAGCCAGCTCCCTGCAGAAGGGACAGGAGCCAGATTTATTCCTCACTGGGGTGGGGGCGGTGAGGAAGGGGTGTATTCACCAGTGGCTGCAATGTGGACCAGGATTGGGCCCTGAGGGGGGCGGGAGGCAGCTGCAGCGAGAAGCGATGACTCAGTGCTTTGAGCTCGAGTCAGCATTTTGGACTGGCTCCCAGGTGGGGTGCGGTCTGTGGGCAGAGGTGCCTGGGGTGACACCTGCCAGCAGCTCTGGTTTAGGGCAAGGACAGCAGAGCTCGGGCCTCATGGTGCAAGTGCTGGGCTGGGACTCAGGAGAACAGCTCTGACACTGACTCCCTGGGTAACCTTGAAGATGTCCCTGCATCTCAGGGTCTCAACTCCCCCCATTTAAGGTGGTCACCCAGCCTTTTTCTCCATGGGGAGCTGGGCAGCCTGGGCTCCAGCTTGTGTGCGTGGTCTTGGCTAGAGATGGAGAAAGCCCGGAAGAAGGGGAGGGAAGGCAGCTATCTAGTGGGGGTGGGGCAGGGCTTCTGGGAGGAAACTGGTGGCTGCAGCTGCTGTGCATCATGTGGGACTTCTGTATAGACAAGCGGAAGAAGGACATGGGGAGGATTATCCTGTACGGGACTCTGGGTTGTGGGGAGGGAATCACCTGGTGTGTCCTCTCTGGGAATCCCTGATGGGGGGGGGATCCTTTGGTCCTGCATGTCGCATCCCAGGATCTGCAGTGAGGGGGGTCGCATCCCCTGATGTGTCTCATGGGGTCTCTGCTGGGGGGTCCCATTGTCTAGTGTGTCATATACCAGGGTCCCCAGCAGGGCAGTGCCCTGAACTGCTCACAGTCAGACTCCTCAGGCCATCTGGCCCCTCCTTTGGTCTGAGGGATGGTGCCGTGTTGCTGTCAGGCCCTGGAGTAGCTGCTCTCGTGTCTCTGGGACTTGTGTGTTGGCTGGAGGGTGCCCTGCATTAACCCCTCGGCTTCCCTCCTTTCAGGTACGGGATCAGCCCGGAGAACATCATCCTGTATGGACAGAGCATTGGCACAGTGCCCACCGTGGACCTGGCCTCGCGCTACGAGTGTGCCGCCGTCGTGCTGCACTCGCCCCTCACCTCGGGCATGAGGGTTGCCTTCCCGGACACTAAGAAGACCTATTGCTTTGACGCCTTCCCCAAGTGAGTGCCCCCTCGCTTCTCCAGCTGGGCACAGACACCAGCAGCCCACAGGGAGCTTGGCCTTGCAAGGGATCGTGGGCACTCCTGAGTTCAGGCCCTCCTTTTGGTGACAGGTGCCTTAGTTGCAGACCTGACACTCCCATTGCCATGGAAGTGCCATGGCAACTGTGTACCAGATGGCAGTGTCTGGATCTGCAAATTGGTATCCCCTGGCTGCCAGCTGTCCCCTGAGAGAGCCCCCCCTGAGGTGGGGAAGGTCCCAGCACCCTCCAACTCTCCCCTGTTCCCCTGCCATTCCCAGCAGTGCAAAACCACACCTCTCCCTAGGCCCAAAACCAGGCAAGACATGGAGCAGAGATTTGCCGCTGCATCTCCCCAGGCCCCTCTAGAAGAACTCGGGGGAACCTGCCAGGAGCTGTTGCATGGCTGCAGTGGCCTGAGTTGGTCAAACCCTTTATCCCTCAGCCTGGGCCCTGGGAGCTCTTGGCAGGCATGAATGGAGTCTCACAAGCCCCCTGGCCCAGGGGCAGGAGCTGGGCCTGTCTGTGCTCCCTGTAGCGTGGTCAGGACAGACAGCTGCCTCCCAGCAGTGGGGAGAGATCAAGACACACAGTCTGTATCCATGCTGGTTAAGACGCATCTCATTCTGCACCCAGTGGTGGGTGTGGGGGTGGCATGGCTGGTGTCCTGTCCGGCCACTCCAGGCACCAGGTCTCCACTTACAGCTGGGGCAGCCTTCAGCGCTCACCCAGCACAAGGCTGGACTCAGACACCTTAGCAAGACACCTTAGCTGCCCTGTCCACTGAGCCCCATTTGCAGTGATGGAGGTGGGGCTGCCCTGGAGGTCCCGGGGCCTGCTTGGTCCTGCAGAACCAGTGTTAGGGGGACAGTGTGCAAGGTAAAGGGGCTGGGGGTGCAGGGGTCTAACAGAAGAAGCAGTGGATTTGCCACCGCTACAAACCCTTAATTTCTGGCTGTGTGCACCCTGGCTCTGCTGTGGGTTCTGGGGGGCGCTGGGCTCTGGCATGCAGCAGGTCCAGCCAAGTGATGAGAGGGCCCCTCTCCACCCCCAGTCTGTAGATCTCAGCATTTGAGGGGCCAGCTGTGAGAACAGTGTATTTAAACTTGTTAAAGGGGCACGTTTGGGCTGGAGTCACTGAGGACCAGTAAACACGAAACCTGGGGGCACGGCACCAGCCGGGGGGGTTACAGCCCAAGTCCTAGTGGGGGCTAATCTGCAGGCCTTCCCCTCGCATCAACATACTCTGGGCCACGTGCAATTGGTTGCTTCTCATCTTCCACCCAAGAAGTAGCTGCACTTCCCGGCTGCCCTGTAGTGCCAGGGCTGTGATGTTGCCTAGTGCCCCCTTGTGGCATCAGGTGCCATTGCTGTGCAGGGTCCCTCACCGCAGGCTTGTTTCCTCTGCAGCATCGAGAAGATTTCGAAGATCACCTCGCCTGTCCTCATCATCCACGGCACCGAGGACGAGGTCATCGACTTCTCGCACGGGCTGGCGCTATATGAGCGCTGCCCCAAGGCAGTGGAGCCCCTGTGGGTGGAGGGTGCAGGACACAACGACATTGAACTGTATAGCCAGTACCTCGAGCGCTTGCGCAAGTTCATCTCCCAGGAGCTGGCGAGCCAACGCAACTGAGCAGCCATCTCCGCCCCGTGCTGAGCCAGGCGGGAGGGCACCGGCTCCTGGAGGTGCCATGAGCTCAGGCAGCCTCAGCTGTGGCCGACCGAACTGAGTAGCTGGAGAGAAGCTTCAGGTCCTTGAATGTACATTGCGTGTCTCATGACATCTTGGGCAAGTCCCATTTGATACAAGCACAGTGCCCTTGCTGGACCTCCCCTGCAAACTGCATCCTGCCAACAGGGGCGCTGCACGGGAGCCTGGGGGACAGCAGCTGTAGAGGAGTTTTCCACCCCCATGGGTGTCTTGGGGGGCGGGGAAAAAGGACAAGGACCCATCCCTCCAACTCCTGCCCGAGTTGTCTCCTGAGCCTGCCCTGGAGCTGGCTGGGGGTTCCTGCAGCCTCAGCCCTCGGGGAATCACCTCCAGCTCTGACCCCACGGTGCAGCTGTTCTCACAATAGCAATAAGCACTGGGCAAGCTGCAGGTAAGAGAGCAGCACATCCCTGGCAGGATGCCTTGCCGCTGGCTCTGATCACTGCATGGTACATACACACGCCTGCTCTGTCTTACCACCTAGTGCACCCGCCTATGCAGCCAGAGTGGAAGCTGGGCCCTTAACAAGTGAATCAAATGCCAGTGGGAACTGTTGGAGGGGAGGCGGGGGATTTGCTGAGTGGCATTTGCCAGCCTTGGCTGGAAGCTCCTGTGCCTAGCACGTGGCACCTGCTGTCCTGAGAGGGCAGGACGGGTGGGGCAAGGAGATGGCACCATCCCTGCTCTGTGCCCCATTTTGTGTCTGCAGAGGACTCCCCGACAGCAGGTCACCCAAGGCAACTCCTCTGGGTGGGCGGATCTCATGAGTCGTTTTGGAAACAGAAAAACCAAGAGGAATAAAGGTTTAAGATGTAAACTTTTACAGGAGATCTCCATGTCTCAGTCTGAGGGTCCAAAGCGGGGGTGGTTTTGCATCCCGAGATACCAGACCCTTTTCAAGGAGCTCAGTGTAGCATCTAACATAGCTTCTGAGCACAGCACAGGCCCACCAGCACCGGGTGCTACATCGCTGCACATGGGTCATGCCGCACTCAGGCTGCCTGGGGAGTGTAGTAGAGCGGGCACTAAGCCCTGCACTGCAGAGTGCCCAAGCCACGGGCCTCTCCTTCCTCTCGCCAGATGGATAAGCAGGAAGGAAGCATCTGCTTGGTTCAGGGCAGCCTCTCCCTGGTGCCTTGGGCTATGTCCTGTCATGGACCTAGTGGAGCAGGCAGCGCCCAGCAGCCCTGTGCTGGAGGAATTCAGCTCTGCAGGCCTCCAGTGTGTTAGCGGTCCCTGCTTCCCCGTGCAGGGGGAGCTGGTTTGGAACAATCCCCTGAGACCTGCTTGCTGGGGCTTTAGTGTAGTCACCGCCCATGGTGCCCCATGCCCAGCAGGATGGGCTGTGGGGCTCTCTCAGGGGTTCCCTCTGCCCCACCTGCTCCCAGAAGACCACCTCAGTGCTGGGGGTGACACGGGGGCATTTCCAACAGCTCTGCGCCCTGCTCCACTCCAGGGGCTTGGGGGCACAAGGCTTAGGCTGCCCTGGCTGTGGTCTGTATGTGGATTTAGTCTCCCAATCTTTCTTTTTTTTTTTTTAATTTCACGTCTTGGGCCAAATCGGTTCCAAATTATCGACTGAGCAGAGCTCGGTCATTCACGTCTGTGCGGCACTAGCACCAGCAAGTCTCCTCTCTCGCTGACTCTTCCACCTTGAGCTTGAGATACTCTCAAATCCATGGCAGGCATCCCGTGTGCAGGCTCCAAGCCGGAGACCTTGGAATTCAGATGCCCTCGAGTCTCGGTTGCCTGTAGCCAAAAGGAGCAAATATCCCCCGTCGCCATAAAAATAAATGGTGTAGCCGAGATCCTCCCATTGGGAGGCTATCGTAGACTTGGATGGGGGCCTGCTCGCAGTGCATTGGACAAGTCTCCACCCTTAACTACACAACACTGTTCAAGGTAATCTTGGCTCTCAAGCGGCTGAGATCCTACATGCAAGCCCCATGAGCCAACAGGCACCACGCTTAAATTGCTCTTGGCCTTTTGGCTCCGATCAACAGGCACAGGACTGTAGGGCATGCATCTAGGGCACCAGACTTAAGCAGGAGGGTAAGTGCTGTGTTCTCTGGTGAGGAGGCAGACATGCTCCAGCTGCACTGAGCAGGTAACTGGGTCCTCTCTGGGCTGGGGGGAGCCCCAGCAGCAGCAGGGGCTCAGACCCTGACTGAGTGAATGCAAAGCTCTGGATCAAGGGTGGGGGCAGCTTCTCACCCCAGCTCTTTCAGTGTCTCTCCACGCTCCTGCACAGACCCCTGCTCTCCCAGCCCTGGTCTCCCCGTTCCCAGCTCTGGCCTTGTCCTTCAATCCCAGCCCCCTTTTGCCAGCAGCGGGATCTCCCCACGCAAAGCTGTACTGAGCCCCGCAGTGCAGTCTCTTGCCTTCGACGTGGAAGCAGCAGGCATGAACAGGAAAGGTCTGTGAATGGAGAGGAGCGGGGACACGCTGGAGAAAACCAGTGCCGGGAGTCGGGGAGTCCAGCCCTAGAGGAGGGAGCGGCTCAGGTAGAGAGCTGTGTGCCTATAGGGCTAATGCAGTGAGGGCCAGGCCAGGTTGGGGCCCTGTAAATCTAGGGCTGCACCCCCTGAAGGGCAGGCGGCAGTGTGGGGAGCAGGCTGAGGCAGGTCTGGCCCCACAAGCCGCCTGTCTCATCCTCCAGCAACGTGGATGCTTCACCAGCCGCCCCTGCACCTCTCCAGAGGCTCTGCAGCATCTGGCAGGGTCCAGAAGAGCGGCTCGGAGAGGTGAGTTGTGGCAGGAGTTGACTGCGAGGGAGGCAGGGCATCTGGTGAATAGTGGGAGCGGCAAAGGGGTGCAGGGAGGCTGCTTCTGGGCAATGGCTCTGGTTTATATTCTGCTGTCTCACAGACATGCAAGTGAGTGTGCAACCACACACACACGTGCACATGTCGATGTGCAAACACCTGCCAGTGTGCATATGCATGGACTGTGTTTCCTGCGCGTGCACAAACCAATGCCTGGGAGAAAGCCAGGGAAACTGCTCCTCCTTCCTCTCCCAGCCCATCCAGGCGGCCCCCTGCTCCAGCAGGTGGAGGAGCAGTTACCCAATACCCAGCACACAGTAAAAGCTGCGGACGATCTGTCTCTTCAAATCAGGCTGTGGGTGAAATAGGGACAATCAGTGACCTCCCTGGAACAGTCCCTCTCCGCGTCCTTGTCCCATTCGATTAGGGGGAGCTGTGACCAGCTGCACGGTGGGGACTCAGGCCGGTGTTTTCCCTCCCACTGGGGCAGAGGGAGGAGATGCAGCAGGGGCAGGGGGAGCTTGGGGTCTGGTGTGGGGGCAGGATCCCAGCCCAGACTCCACCACAGCAGAGCAAGCCTAATGATTCCCCGCAGACCTGGCTCCTGGGTCTAGCGGGGTCCTCACTGCTCACACCTGCTCAGGCCCCAGATGACGGCATTTCCTTCCTCTGGGATTGCTCTCGACCCACCCATGGTGGCATTATTTGGCCCAAAAACCTTTCAGCTAAGAAGTGCAGCTCCCACGAGCCTGGAAGTCTTGGTGTGGGTGATGTGGGCACAGGGTGAGGGGTCCGAGCGTTTCGGCATGCACCACCTGGGAGTAACCCTGGGCCACAAACTTTCACTCTCATTTAGAAAATAATGAAATGACTTAGGGGAAAATCAGGGGAGGCTGGTCTGGTCCAGAAGGGGGTTTGTGCATGGTGCAGGGAAGGGTCCCTGAGCTCATCAGGTGGCTAATTGGACCACATTAGGGCTCTGATCTCCCTCCAGCCCCAGCTGGGCTCCCCCCAACCCTGGTGCTGGGACCCTTGTTGGTTAAGGTCACCATTTGCCGATCTATCCAACCCTCGCACCTCCCTCACAGCCCCAGCTATCTGCCCAAGCAGCCGGCTTGCCCCACTGCTTGCCTCTGAAGCTCCCTCGCTGGGCACATCCTCCCTGAAGCTCCTGGGAGCATGGGCACCAGGGTCATCTGACACGCTAATCTCCTTAGGGGCAGATTGGAGGGGCTCGGGGGGAGTCATGTGCCCGGGACGTGGCACGTCTCAGCCCCATCTCCTTGTGCTGCGGGTGCTCAAAGGAGCTCATTGTTCCAGGGAGCAGAAAACAAGCGGCCTCGGCAGCAGGAGGACGATGACTCAGGCCTGGGCCTCGCCCCAGCCCAGGGATCTCCTCTTGAACTGTGGGGCAATTCACAGGGGCACAGAGCCAGCCTGTCCCCCCGCGGCACAATCTGGCCTGGATGGCCCCACTGGGGCATGCCTCAGGTGTGGCGAGATCTGGGCATCTGCCGCAGAGGGCTCTGCGCCACTCGGATGGGCAGCCGCATGCTCTGCCCACCCCGCCAGCCCCCCGGCACTGCCTCTGCCCACCCTCCTGCTCCTCTTGAGCCCTAGGAGTTAGGCTTCCCTGTTCCTAGGGGCACCTCTGGGAGGCGAGCGGGGTCTCGGAGCTGAGCGCGGAGCGGTGGAAGCCAGGACCGCTGGGTTTTCCCTTCTCTTGTGGGTCTCGCTCTTTAAAGGCAACAACACATGGCCTACTCTGCTGCTGTGCCTCCAGCCCTGCCTTCCTTGTGCCCTGGATGCCCTTGGCTCCCTCCATGGGCTGTCCCCGCTGGGGCTGCAGCGCTGACACCTGCGCAGGGTGGGGACATTTCCATTCTGCCTTGGACTTGACCCCAGGCTGCTTCTGATCCGCTGCCCCCCCAGCCAGCCCTCCCCTGCCCCCATTAGCAAGGCAGCCGGAACAGCCTGCAGCTCCCTAATCCCAACATAGAAACCTTCTGTTTGCGCCAAATATATTTTTATCCTCTCCCTGCCGCTTGCTTCCTGTTGATTCCCAGATGCTTCAGAAAGGCGCTGACAGGGGATCAGAGGCCTGGGTCCCTGGGAAGCTGTGATGGGGACAGGCTTGGGTTTGTGTTTCCTGTGTCTTGGGGGAAACCGAAAGAGTCACCAAACCTGATCCCTGGAGTAAAAGGACTGAAGGGATTTATACCTCCTGCCCACAACAGGAAGGCAGTGGTACCACCTCCTTTCACTCATACTAGGGACCCCGTTGTGTAGGCATTGCACAGACCCAGAGCAAGAGATGGTCCCCAGCCCTGATGGGTTTCCGATCCCTGGGCGAGAGGGGAAAGGGGATGAAGCCCCTCGACGGGATGCTGGGTGAGCTGAGATTAGTAGCCGCAGCTCCAGATTCCTTCTCCGCTGCCCTCCAGCCAACGAGCATTGGCAGCCCCATCTCAGACGAGGATTAGGTGACTGGTGAATGGGCGTTTTGTCTTAGATGGTGCCAGAGGGATTGTATGAGACCTGCTGCGTCCAGCACGCGGCTCAACAAACTGCAGATTAGGAGCTAGAGTCTGGGACAGATTTGGGCTCCTCAAGTGGGGCTGAAGCAGAATCAAGCACCTACGCACTGAACTGGGGTCCTGAAATCCCTACTGGGAGGCCATGCAGGTGCCCTCGCTCCCCAGCCCCACATCTCTTGAGCTGCAGATTTGCCCGCTGCCTGGGTTCCCATCTCAGCACGTGCCCAGGCCTGCTCCGGCTGTGTCGACATAGTAAATGTTGCACCCTGGAAGCAGCATAGCCCCATCCAGGCAAGCGGGCTAATTGGCTTGGGCATGGGCTAATTGGCATGGTCATGCAGCTAAGCTAATTGTCCTGCCCCTGGCACTTCGTAGGGGAGGCTGCACTGCTTCTGGCTTAGGAGGCAATGCATCTGGAGCCGACGGGCTCGGACAGATATTTGGCTGGGGTGTTATGACGCCGCATTCGTTCCTGCCCGGGACAGGGGGTCGGACCTGATGATCTGTTTAGGTCCCTTC